GAGAGAAATGAATATGTGTAGTTGTGGTAGTACTTACATCTGCAGTCAATGGAGGTGAATCCTGTAATGAATACTTTTTGGCAATGGCCTGTCTGGTTTGAAGGTAACCTATATTTAACACAGGTGATGATAAACAATACTGGGGTTAATCGGCTGGTTGGTTGGCTGGCTCGGAATTGAAATATACATATATTGGGATGCAAATGTGGCAAGAATGAATGGTTGCAGGATATGCTCGATTTGGTGGCACAATCTTGTTTGCAAATGTCACCAGTTGGTTGGTCAGGCGTTGGCGTGGGAAAGTAGTAGCAGTAGAGGGCAAGGAGTTTTTAGCATCGAGTGATAAACCAGCGAGTAAGACTGCTTTTCTTTGGTCAGCTTTGTTTTTTACGATCAATTCAAGCAGGGTCAGGTATGTCAAGGAAGATTTTCATGGCCACGATGGTGTTAAGCATCCATTATTTAAATTCAAGTTTTCTATACCAGACTTTCCGGTCAGATTATAGCTGCTGCTGCTGCTGCTGCTGCAGTAGAAGAAGAAGAAAGGTCACTTTCCCAGCTTCACAAATGAACACAGCTAGCCAGGTCTTTGGAAAAAGCGATACAGCCAACTTTTGCGGAAATGTCATGTCACATGGTGGTAAGTATTAATATGCCTGACCCTTTTTTGCTAACCAATTTTAACCTAACCCAAGAAAAGCCCGATATGCCATTATCTGGTATGGCCAGCCCGGGCTGGCCTTAATTGATTGCATTGGCCTGGCTGGGCTTGAACAAAGAATCGAAATATGGTTGTTGTTGTTGTGGTGGTGATGATAGCAAATAAGGAATAAATTTGTCGTTGTCATGTGATCGATGCCATTCCAAGGTTTTGATTCCAACCCCTTGTTTGTGCAAAGCATGCATGAATAAACGCCTTCCTCCCTTCACAGATCCTCACGATTCCCGTGTTTATTAGTTCTGACTCTAGCAAAATATGGGTATGGGTCCAGCCAGTCATCCCTCACTTTACTGCCCAACTGCCAGCAGCAGCAGCAGCTGCTGCTGCTGCTGAAAACAAGATCCGAAAATCCTGGGTGGCTTTGAAAATAACTAATGAAAAGGTAATTACTTACCAGTAGCCGGGGGATATCCATTGAACTTGAAGCTGTGCAAGGCCTTTTCTACAGCCTTGACAGTTTCGGGATGAGTATCAAAGTTACCAAACACAGTTGGATCACCTACATTACAAAGCCACCGGCAAATGTTAATATATCTTTGGCCTGATTTGTTGGTTATTGGAGAGTATTTGTGGCGAGCATAGGAGATGAGAGAGGTACCTAGAGATAGAGAAAGCACGGGCTTGGTGCTTTCCGATGTCCTCTGGGGCGGGACAGGGCGCGAGAGAGCAACTCGAATAGGGTTCACGGTTCTGTTGGCAACGATGGATGATGGGATCGTAGACCAGCTGCTATTCCCATTGATATGGCCGTTAGCGATGCCGTTGGAGGTGGCATTAGCAGGCGATGAATGGTGCTGTTGAACTGGGGGAGGAGCCATGGTTTACGGAAAAAAGAAAGAAGGCAAAAACCAAATACAAATCGATACAAGAACACAAAGAGGCAGGAAACCAAGTTGGCTGGCGGTTATCTCTAAAACAAAGTAGCTGTATAGATGATATATAAATAAATCAAAATCCGAAAGGGAAAAAAGTGCAAAAGTAAAAATGCCAGGACCAACCTTGGTCAGGGTATATATATACTTTAATCACTTTGTGTTTGTTATCACAAGTTATTACTCTGTCTGGTGATGGTGATGGTCATTCTTAATGGTGGCGGTGTTACCACGCCCAATATCCAACAGCAATATTATTAGTCAACCAGCAACCAAGCAAAAGCGAGAGAAAAAGAACCTTTGGTGAATCAGATATATGAGGGTGGGGTGAATGAGCAAGCGGGGCCGAGAACTGGCGCCCTAGAAAGAAACACTTACAGTGATCCAATCGAACCATCTTACCATCTCATATGAGCCTCTTTTCTCCATAGAGGAGCACAAGGCTATTTATCCGCAGAGATCTTTTTCCATCCAAGTGAGTGTTTGTTAGTTGTCACGCCATCATCACAACTACCATTTCGCTCATTAGTTTTTGTGTGTGTGTGTGTGTGTGTGTGGGGAGGGGTATTTAAGAATTCTACTTTTTAAACAAAACGCCACAATAAATCCAATTCACTCGCCCTGTGTGAGTATGTGTGCATTGCATTTCTTTTATTCACAAAATTCCACATTGTATAGTTTATTTTGTGAATATTCTTATTATCACTCTTCATTTCACCGCTCTTGTTGCTTTTACTGTGTTTTTGTGACAAAAGAAATGATTTTTAATCATGACTTTTAGAGATCTTCATACAAAAAAAGTTACTTACTTGACTTATTCATGAATATAATGTATAAACACTTGATGTTTTACTCTAGCCATCACAAAGTAATAAATTGCTATGTACATCTCTTCAAGCTATTTTCCACTGGAAGGGGAAGAAACAGAAAAGGAAACCATACAAAATCTAGAAATATCTAACTATAGGTTTCCTATTCAAGAAAAGAAGTAAGCCACTCATTTCTTTTGAATTTTCTAGCCAGAAGTGTGTGTGTGTGTGTATGTCCACAAAGCAGTATGAAATATATAGCAAAGATTATGAAAGGAATAGGATTAAAAGCAAGTTTATTCAAATATAATAAACATGAAATTTAATTGTATTTAATAAATCAGCATCATTGGCTTTGCACATATTTTTATTCATTTTGGGACTTCCTGGTTGACTTCTGTTGTTGAACACCATTATTATCACTCTTTTTCTTTTTGTTGTCAGTATCATCAACTAATTCTTGGCTTTTTCTCTTTTTGGAATTAGTCTCAGTCTTTTTTGAGGTTTCCTTGCTGCCGGACTGTTCTTTACCAGACTTTTGACCTTGCCCCTGTTCCTTTTGTGACGGTGGCTCCTGCTTTGGCTTTTGTTGTTGTGGTTGTTGTTGTGGTTGTTGTTGTTGATTGTTCTTTTGCTTAATAGGTGCCTTGGTTTCAAGCTGTTTAATTGATGCTGGTTCAAGAATAGGTTCCTTTTTAACTGTATAATCTTCTCGATCCTGGCTCTGATTCTGATCCAATTCATTGGGAATATTTATTTTTAGCCATGACAAAAGCGGTGGATCAGGTAATGTATCTTTGACATTCGATACAAGTTTTATAATATCCTTTAGATCATCTGTTTCATTATCGCCAGCCTATATAGACATATATCAATATATATAAAGTATTTTTAGCAACAACATATTCTAGAAAAATAAGTGTGTATATTTATTTGGGTCAACTTGTTGCTATGATCTATTTATAATTATATATGCAGGGCTTACTGTTGTTTCTGGTAAATGAATGGCAATAGCTCCAGCCCTCTTAATCCTCATCAATGAAGCAATTTTGGCTTCTGTGCCTTTGGGTAGCGGTATCAACCTCAGATCAAACCTCCCAGAGGTCTTTTTACTGTTCTTTGATGAGATAACGTGACAAAGTGCGGGAAAATGACTCAATATATGTGATGGTTCAAGATCCCCATTAAACGCAAATACCACCAAAGTACCTGACAACTTTTCAACCTTTTTCTGTTGTTGTTGCTGCTGCTGCTGCTGCTGATGTTGGTGTTTTTCTGAATTATTATCAGAGTTATTGGCCATGGATTGAAGTAATCTGGTTATAGCCGAAATTCCTATTATGATATTTTTAGATATCTTTGGTTGTGTTGGTTTTTTTAGGTTTTCTGGGTTCTCCACTTTCATTTCTTCCTCCATCTTCTTCTTCTTCTTCTTTTTTTCCTTCTCCTCTTCATTCTTGGCTTGAGCGCTATTGCGATTGTTCTTGTTGTTCTTTTTGGATGATTTTGTAGCTTTCCTTTTTTCTATACGAACTTGTCTATGATGTCTGGACGCCTCAATCCGATATTGAACTAATGGATCCAAAGCTCTTTAAATATATCACAAACATATAAAATTAGTACAAGATGGGTCATTTTTGGCTGAAGCATAAGCATGAGTCCTATACATATTTATACAACATACTTTTCGAAATCAGACATGATGCTATTCAGCTTTTCTGCGGGCACTACGGGCCTGTAATGGAAATTGAGTTTAATAAGTCTCACATAGTATAGTGTAATATTTCACATTTTATAGTATTTGCATTTATCCGATCATTTACCATTTGGTTGTATAAGGCGTTGTGAGCGTATGTTTAAATACTACTCGAAACTTGTCTTTTGCTGTTTGCGTTGATCCTGTCTTTGCTGAAACTGTGGGAGTTACTGGTTCCTTCATGGCTGTGTTAGAAAGAGAGTATGGTATGATTTGGATCAATGGTTTGCATAAAAGCATATTTTTATTCACTTCAAGTTTTAGGAAAGCTCATGATCAATAAAGTTATGGGCTGGATTTTCAATCGGCTATGGCTTGGTCGACATTTCTATGAGTCGCGTGCGTATCTCAATCAATAAAGAGACCCAAGGGAGATACAGGTTGAATCCATTTTAGGGATCATTATATAGGGGGTTGGAATGACAACGGTATAAAGAATAGTAGTGACCAATTCGATATTTCGAATACTACGAAATATCACCATTAGAAATGTTATTATCGTATGATAAATGGACAAGAGTAGGTAGATCTCTTACATATGTTAAATAAAAAGGATGAATTTCCTTTCAATTGATTATAAGATGAACGAAGCCGGATGAAAACATTAAATTATATGTAAAGGCATTTTGAGAAGATTCAATATCGTTAATGCTTATAAAAAACGATAGAAGTCCTTGTATCTACATAGAATAAACATTTGTCACAGTAAAGCACCTATAATAACATACAATCATTTGTAAAATAATCTTGGAGAAAGGGAATAGTGGAAAAATATTTCTAAAAACAATATCTGTTTAGAGGTCTTCCTTAAGTTTTAAAAAAATTATTTCTGACGCCCAGTTGTCAGGATGGTGTAGTTGGTTATCACGTGTGCCTCACAATCAGGAATCCCCACCTGATGAGAACGCACAAGGTCCCGAGTTCGAACCTCGGTCTTGACAACACTTTTTCATTTTTCAACCAAGCTTTAGCATACTTTAAAACTCGCATTATTACAATTCACTAAAGTTCTTTTTTCATTTTCGTATGTTCACTTAACTTTTTTAATCAGTTTCAATTAAACCTATATTTCTCTTTAAACAACAAAGTAAAAACCAATCACAAAAATCATATATCTATCCAATATTTACTTGGACAACCACCAATGCGAAAACGAAGATGTTCCGTTATTAGCAGCAGGCTGTAGGCCAAGAATATTGCAAATAAGTCCATAAATTTCAATATTGTTCATTGGAGGGTGACGAGAAAGTGACAACATATCGTCAGAATCAAAGGCTGTAGCAGTTGTGCTGTTAACATTGGTACCAGTACCAATATTACTATAAGTGTTACGAGCATTTTCTAAAACATGACTTCCTTGTTCTTTGTCTTCGGGATCGTTCCAATAAGAATCATAAAGTCCGACCTTATTAGAATTAAAGGTCGACTGAATATCTTTATGCAAAACAGCAGGTGAGTTAGTTGGCAATGGAGGAGGCTGTGTGAATGGAGAACGGAACGAGGGACCACTGGCAACAAATATAGCATGCATCGAGGGATCAAGGTTATCATATCCATGAAGTCCGATTATAGAATCAATTCCACTGTAAGGATCGATCATCTGGGCATATGAGGGGTTGCGCTGCTCAATGATGTATGGTTTTGGCGGTATAATAACTATATGGCCAATTCTATTATTATTCGAGAAATGGAACCTTTTGGGAACATTTTCTCTCAAATATACCTCGAGATTAGCTTGCTTTGTGATAGGGGCATTGAGGATTTGATTGTATACATCTAATTTATCTTGTTCTGAGTTTTTGAGAACAACTGAGCCGATAGGCCAATCATGGACGCTGTGGATCTTGGAGGAAGCATCCTTGACGATATCCTCAATGTATATGGTATATTTGGAAGGCTTGGACCATGTCATTCCATGGTCACTGACAATAATGACATCCACAATATTGGTCAGATTGCGGCTCTCCAAATGATCAAACAAGTATCCCAGACTATCATCAACCAACTTGATCGCATTATTGACTTCAACAGAATCTGGCCCATGAGCATGGGCAGCTGAATCAACTTCTGGGATATACGAAAGCAACAGCGAAGAGCGTCTATCAAACGGCATATCAATCCATCCCAATAACCTATCAACCTTATCAACAGCCGTAACGCCACCTTTGAATTCGACCAAATGGGTTGGCAGATAGCCCTTAATAGGAGCCACAGAGCCTGGCCACATGTTGACACCTGATATATGGCCCTGTTTTTCGGCAGTCACCCAAATGGGCTCACCACCCCACCATTTAGCATTGCGGTTTGTAGCCAAGTCCTTGTAGTAAAATAGCTCGTCCATATCGGGGTCGTAGAAGGTGTTGCCGACCATTCCGTGGGATTCAGCATATAGTCCTGTTGCAATTGAATAGTGGTTGGGGAATGTTATTGAAGGAAATACGGGCAACATGTAATCTGCTCTGAGCCCACGTTTGCCGAATTTTTTAAGGTTTGGGGTTAAGCCTCGGCTAAGATATTGAGCCTTGAAACCATCGATGGAAATCATTAGAACGGTGGGCTGGAATTTATGTGTGCCATTTGTCATTAGTGGAAGTGGTTCTAGGATCTTGTGGTCTGGATCTGGTGATGTGCCTACGCTGTTCTTTGAATCTTCTCTACCATTGCTGTTATTATTATTATTATTGTTGTTGTTGTTGTTGTTGTTGCTATTGACATTATCGTTATTATCATCGTTAAGGTTATCCTGAAGAACATTAGGGGGTATTGCTTGTTGTTGTTCAATCTTCTCTAGAGGATGAGGAGTATCTGCAGGGTCACCGCCACCACCCCCATTACCACCAAACTGTACATCCATATGAGGTTCTTGAGACTGGTTTCCAGATATCCTGACGTTTGCATAAAACGAAAACCTCGACCCAATAACCAAGACCATAAACACGACAACTCCAACAAGCATCCAACAAAGCTTCCTTGGTCTTAAAGAGAATATACCACCGCCAATATTCTGATTGTAACGTCTCGAATGGTTTAATGGTATTTCTGTGTAATAGTCGCTGAAGCTGTTGTCATCTTCAATGGATATCTTTTCGTTAAAGTCATTATCCATATGGACATGGTAAGACACGGAATGACCATTATTGGTTGTTCTTGGGGCTTTCGTCCTTTTGGAATTTGGATTTAGAGGCGAATACCTAGGTGCCCGGTTAGAAACATAATTGGACACCATAACTTGTAAATTGGTAGTGCATGCGCTTGCGGATGTACTTTGTTGAAATGCAGGCTCGAGAAGTCAATGAGAGGGGAAAGAAAAACAATAAGAGTAAATAGAAAATACAGAATATGAATAAAGAGAGCGTGTGTGTGTTTATATAATAATAATAGTAATGAAAAATACAAGACTGGAGTTCCCGTTGTTGCTTTAGCTAGAGCGATAAATGCAGAACTAAAGTGGATGCTATGTAAAGTGCATAAATTGAAGGCTCAAAAGTACATGGCTGACACCATTGTGACTCCCCTATTGATTGGCTAGTGTGTACCCCACCGTACTTTGTTCCTCCTTAGCTTTTTATTGAATGAATTCGCAAAAGGCGGCTTTTTTGTTAATCATGAATTTGTGTGGCGTTGTTAAGGGCGATAGTAGTTAAAGCTAGGGACTTTTGGGACATATACAGAAAGAGAAAAATGGCGAGAGAGATAGAGAGAGACCGAGACTTTCTTTGTCCATTCTTTCAATCTAACTTGAAAAGTTTATTAGCAAACAATTTAAGCCTCATGATGATTGGATTCCAAATAATCAACTACCACCACTGTAAAAGGAATATGGATTTTGAATCATACCAAAGGAATGGAGTCAGTCTTGTCTTTGTCTAATTAGACTGACCCCGCCCCCATTATTTTAAAGCACAAATTTAAATACCACCCCGCAAATAATATACGGTTTCTAATAATCTTTATTAGTTGGTGTCTTGGAGAGTGTTTGGAGAGAGGTGAAAAGAGCATTGCTAACTACCTTCTACCTGGGCAGCAGTAATCATCATATTCCAACATAGATTAAAATGAACACGCACAATATTTTACAGGCCAAGCCTCTTGTTGCTAATTATCAATGATATGCCAAACAAACTTGATTACACATTCATCGTCAATACACTTACCTAATAAAGTACAGATGTGGGAAGATTTCACTAGTCAACGAATCTATATTTGGCAGAGATGGGCCCTCAGATTTTGGCCCCAATCATCAGATATTTTATATGCAATTCCCAGGGACCGACTTTGCTCAAAGCCTTGTGAACTTTGAACCATACATGCATAGCACATGTGATAAGTACTCCTGGTTATGATGGCATGCAGAGAGAAATGAGAAAGAGACGCCGAACTTTATAGTAAGTGGGGATGCCTTGGCCGATCAACATGTAAAGCAATAATATGTATACGCATATTGCGATTCCGAGATTCTTAGGGGAAGAGAGTATTAGACAATCATTTGATCAAAGTGATCCAAGTATTACGAATATCATAGTATGACAAAGACAACGCTAAATTAAGGGGCAGCCCTACTCAGTGAATTACTATTACGACCACTGTAGCTGCAGCTTTTGACCTAAGTGGCAAATACAATACATCTCTCCTTTCTCTCCAACCCTGCCCTTCTCTTGCTTGGTTCAAAGAGATGAAACGCAGCTCCCCCCTTGCACAGAATGTCAGTGATCAAAGCAAAAGCAGCAATAGCAGAGGTCAGCAGTCACAGGCCCAATGTTTTATGTAACCGACCTGCCATCCTGCTGCATCATCAAAAGCATCGCATAAATTAATTACTAAAAATGATGACCATAGCTTTAGGCTCAAGAGAGTCTGGATGCCAAAGCAATCGAGTGTATGTATCCCAGTCCGTCTCTACCCGGTCCTTATAGAATGCCGTGGGCTATGATAAACTAGCCCATATTTCAAGTATATTTAACATGAATTCATGCCATCCAAAAAGATGCCTCACTCACAAGAATAAGTTCAATTGATTGATATTATTCAATGTATTTTTTATCTCAATAGAAAAACAAAGTTGACGAGAATAAATAGCAAGTTCTCCACCAAAAGGAAACAGACTGGTACCCTCAACATTCCCTGCAAGCCGGCCCACAATTTATACACTTTGGCTGGAGTTTCAGTGATGATTGGCTAGCATCCTTTAGGGGAGAATACACTGCCAAATAGTAGATAGACTATAAACAATAAACAAACAGAGATCAAAAATACCCCACCGCCCTAAGAACTAATGTAGCTGATATGGGGATCAGCAGATAGGATAGAAGGTCTTTTGGAACCACTCATTATAAGCCCAACAGCTTACTACTAACTCTCCATGCATTCATGTTCACGCTGATCATCAGCCCCTACACAAAAGCTGTCCTTTAGGCAAATGGCAAGCTATCCATCAAAAGGGAACAGACAGACACCCCCGCACATTCCCTGAAAGTCGGCCCATAGCTCGTATGTTTTAGCTGGAGTCTGGGTGACGACTGGCTATTATCTAGGGGGATATCCTAGTATCCTTTTAGAGAAGACTGCCAAATATTTGAGAGGATCAAGATAAGAAGACTGATAGCCAAAAGAAATCGAGACAGCCATTCAGTTTTGTTTGGCGATTGTCATGGCCCGTGAATATCGGGCCAATCGGGGTAACTTGAGCTGGAGAAGGATCTCAGGACGTAGGGGTTATACTCCGTTTTCATCATACGCTCACGCCCACATATGTGCAGGCACTACTACTACAACCACCGCAACAATCATGGTGACCTCTGCATTAGTTTTTGCCTTGCAGAAATCATCATAATATCATCAGTCAAGTGCATTGATTTTTTTGGGACTGCTAAACCCTTCTGCTCCCTCACACTCTTCTCTCTTTCTTCCATTCGCTCTCTGGTATTATTTGATATTCAAGATA